GGTGTGTGTGCATGCGCCGGTCAAACAGAGAAGAAGAGGTCAAAGATTAGCGGAGCAGGATCACAACCAGGCCTCAGATGAGAGTCTTGTGTTCAAAGATGTCCACGTGGGATGAGACTCATTTTCTGTTCATTTACACTGTGATTGGAGCAAAAGAAAACATCGCACTGTACGGATAAAGTGATTTACATGAGTGTATGTATGTATGGGAATACTGTGTCACCTTGTAGGCAGCTCCTCCGTGTATGATGGATTTGATGAAGATTCCCAGATCCTCTCCTGTCTCCCTGGACTTGTTCCCTTTGAGGCTGACGCCGAGCCCCGCCGAGCCGGTGTCGTTGAGGGGCACCTCAAACATGAGCTGCTCCTTTCCATTCTCTGAGACCACGCTCGGCACGCGGGACACCTCGTCCCTCTGGAAGCGACAGAGAGTAATGGAGGCAGAAGAGGCGAGATGGGGATGATGAAGGGAAAGGGTTGGGAACGGGGTGAAGGCGGGAGGGAGAGGGTTAGCTCATTGAGCTTCAACAGTCTTCAAAAGCTAAACTAAAAGCTTTTCCACTTGAGAGAAACTACCAGGTGCTTTTGAACTTCAAATTTCTCTCCAAATATAAAAAAAATTGTAGTCAGAGTATAAAAAGTTTAAAAGAAAGGAGCCATTTGGACCGCCTGCTTTTATATACCCACTTTTTTTTGCTCTCAAGTCTGCAATATCAATAAAATGACCTGCGCATTTTCACAAGGTAATTGGAGAAGACGACAAACACAGAAAGCAGGAAGAGCAGAGTGAATATAATGAGGAAAGATGGTGAAAGGCTGAAATCAGAAGCAAAGACAGACCATATACATAAAAACTATCATAAAGCCAGGAAGCAAAAGGAAAAAAATATTATGAAGAGAGAGAGATGTGGCAGTAATGACTGAGTGTGAGTTAGTGGCACAAAGACTGTGAATAAAGACAGCGAGCAGATACTGACAGTCAAAATTATGACTGTGATGGCTCAGCGGGAGAGAGCGAGCTGAGCTTCGCAGCATCTGGATTATACTGTTTACATGATCCTAAGAGGAACAACAGGTAAACAGTAGTTTTTTATTTTTCCAGAGTTTCAACAAACTCACAAAAGTTGTGAAACCACAGCTGAGCTGATGTCAGGGATAGACGGTGACATTCATAATCAATTAAACCTGCAAAGCTACAGTTCATCTCACACCTGCACATATAACCGACAACACAACACAAACATGTCATGTTTACGCACGGAAGATCCACCATCATCCCCAGCATCATCATCGTCATCATCGATTGAGAGACAACAGGAGGATGATTGTTGTACGTAGGTCTAGGTTCAAGTTAAAAACAGCAGTTCAGCTGATATCTGATCACTTATTTTCACTAATCATGGTGGCTAAAGCAACCTGTCCTGTATGTCAACATGCAAACATTTCTTCATGTAGGAAACGAGAAATCGTCCTCCCATAATCAGCGATGCCACAGTGAAAAAGCCCACAGCTAAATCCACATTTGTAAAATCTCATCTGCTCCAACAGGTCAAGGAAACAGACAGATCAGAAAACGATGACGTCAAATTCACTCTGCATGAACAAACCTCACAGCTGGAGTAAATCACCAGGAAGAACGTCACACCTAATTTCCAAAGCTAAAAACACACATTTTATCCAAGCACGGCGTTTACAGATTCATGTTGCGCAAATTCTCCTCATCGTTATTCGTTTTAGACTCGTTTACACCAACGTCCTCCAAAAAGGACCGAACAACAAACCCAGAAAACTGGAAATTCATTCGGCTGCTTTTTGATCGATCATTTCACGTGCAGTCGTTTTTAACTTGTGACCCTATCGGACAATAAAAGGTTGTAAAATCCTGATTTCAGCAGCACATGCAGCGTGATGACATCATAAATGTGCTAATGAGCACAGATGTCACTGGAGCAGACTTTAGCAGCTTTCTGCACTGAGGACAGAGACGGTACATCTTCATACATATCTGTGCGTGTGACATCTCACCTACAGCAGAACATTTAGCACAATCTGCAGAAAACCCACAATACATATGCATTAGCATTTAGCCAACAGACACACAGGCCTGGTTTATTCTAATCGTATCTGATGCAGGGACGCTTTTTAATGACAGTGTGTGTGTGTTTCCTGTTGCATGAAAGTTTCAGTGGCTGCAACTTTGTGTCGTCTCTCTCCATGACTGTCTATACTTTCACATAAATTACTGCATTGATTTGTCTGTTTACACTATATATCTGTGAGTGAGTCCATGTCTGTGTGTATGTGGCTCTGCACACACATGCATAAGTCAGCCTGAGTCTGCCTCTGTGTGTTTGTTTGGGTCAGCAGTGTCAGCTTTAGACACTGTTTGTCTGTGGGGATTGTAGGTTTAACAGCGTTAAGCCGACAAAAAGTCCTCGACTCTGCAGAAAACTGTTTTCCCTGCTGGAAAAACTTCCCCATCAGACTGACTGTCCAGACCTGATAGGAAGCTTTCCGACCTTGGAAAGAACTTCAAAACACCCAGAAGAGGAATGTTAGCTACTTTCAGCACATAATTACA